ATTTAATACTATAATAGTATATTATGTATCAAGTTTGATAAACGCCATTTTATATACGAATTTAATTTAAATTAAATTCGTGTATAGAAAAGTGTTTTTTATACCACAAATACTTATTATTATCTTAAAATCAAATATTTTTATAGAGCGCCATCTATGAAACAATAGGAGAATCTATGTGTCACCGTCATATGTCAAATTTTTTTATTTTATTAACACAGATTATAAAGGTTATGAATCGAAATGTATTTCTTGAAAATGGACAGTTTTTTACAGTGAAAGTAAAGAAAATGTTTTATGAGCACTTTACAGTGGAGTCCGTGCCCAAATTTAAGTTATAGTTTACTGACGGCAAAATTAAAAGGTTAGTACAATGTTCATATAAACTTTTCAAATATTGGCGTTGAGAAACTATTTAATACTTTTGTATTTTTGTATTGAGATAATAAAATAATTTTCACATTTAGTATTATTTTACAAGAAAGGCACTTCATTTTAACGATTGTATGACATTTGACAACTGTCAACTAACTTAAAACTAACTTCAGCCCCTTGACTAAAAACCTGTTGCTAACTTCAGCCCGAGACTAAAACGCCGTAAAGCCACAACTTGTCAATGTGTATTTAAAAGGTCACTTAGTGTCATGGAGACATGGTCGTATTAAAGGTGGGAGAAGTAAAAAATATTTCCATATTTACATGTAAATATGGAAATTTAATTATATATGCATATATAATTAAATTGCCATTGTAAGTAATATATATTTTTATTTAATGATTATTTTATTAATGGATCCTGTAAAACGAAGTACATTTGCAATTTACAAGCGACCGATTAAAACAATGTTGTTAAAATTAATTAACAATAAATTATAATGACCGTAATCATAGATGCATTTTAGTTAATTCGGACAAGAACAAAAAATATTATCAGGGTCTAATGGATCGTATTTATCAACCAATTAATTACGGAAGGAAGTAATAAATATTTGAAAAAGCTTCAGCATTATTATCAGTAAATTATTTGAAAAGTCATTAATGAAAATCAATCGGGGATTTGAACAGTAGATTCGGACTGAGTGAGGCAGTAGGTAGCAGATCCCTAATGCTGACCCGAAATGTTAATTTAATTAAATCCCCTATTAAACTTACTTAGTGTTAATACCTGTTTAGTTTGCATATTCGCCCATAATTACTCCTGCCAACTTCCTTGATGTTCAACTCGATATCTCAATATTATTTTTTCCGCTCTTCTCCGTCATAAAATTATAACATGCTGCAAAACTTTTTAATCCCGGGAATTAAAAAGTTGTATTTGAAAAGTTTCCTAATGTTACATTTAGAGTAACATTTAACTTTTCCTTTATCGATACAAAATTAACTGCAAAAGATGATATATAAATAATATTTTTTTTGCAAGTTTTCTGCCTAATTATGTGTCTACTACGGACCCTAAATGATACTATATTTAAATTTTAAAAAATGGCTTCCCTACTGCACAGAGAAAAAGCTTTTATATTGTAAATGGGTTAACCATTGAGCCAATGGTATACTGTATTTGCAATACCTGAATTACAGCTCCGTACAAATCCGTATTAAAAGTTAGTTGGATAAAACATAAGACATTATTGAATTAAATTGTTATTTAATTGAAGACACAATGAATCTTAAAGAAAAACTATCATTGGCATAAATAAAGTTATGGTTTCTAATGAATGGCTACATTAAATGCAATCAAAGCTCTATTTCCTTTAAATATGTATATTCTTGTGCAAATATTAGTTATATAATACATTAATATGAACTTTAAATAAAATGAATTCTGGAAACTGCTTCTGGTAGTCTTGTGTACACAGGTTTTTCGATCCATAAAATGAAATTGTTCTGTTTTCTGTAGGAACTATTAGGAACCCACTAGAACTGTTGATGATATTAGGCTCTAAGAAAGTTGCTGACCCATCACTAGCAACAGTTACTGTACTGGATGTGCAGGATCTGTCTGCCATGGCACATGGTTATTCTAAATTTCATCTTATGTATTTAGAGGCGAATCCTAAATATTGCTAAGAGTCCTAAGGCAATATATACTTTCAGGACGCCCTGCAAGGATATCATGATATAAATAAATAAAAACTTCGTTCATTTAAGCAAAATAGCCATTTTAAGGCATGACACCGGTATGGTATATATTTATATGAGTACACATTTACCTTTTTTTTATTTAGATATAATTATGTAATTAAATTACTGGATAATGCATGGCGGACATACAATTAAAAAACATGTACAACTTACCTTGAAAATTTGGGATTAGGAAGTACAACCCCCAAGAAATTAGCAAATATAACAAACAACTAAACACTACCTACACCAGAAATAACCCATAGTATGTAAGTGTATGGGTCCCATACACTTACATCAATCGGCGTCACCAGAAATACCGATTAATCAGTTGATCACATTGCAGGTTGCCGATGTGTGGTGTGGCAGGGGATGCCCTAGCGCGTTTGTCTGAATTTTAGCAACCATTAAATTTAATATAGGCTGCATTGAAAAAAATGGGAATTATAATTGGGCAAATAACAAGTATTTTTCAGGACAGTGAAAACATTGGTATTCACTGTAAGACAGTAAAACTTACTTTACCTTAGTTTCCATTGGAATAAAAATCATAAACATTAAAAGAAACAATGACTATTCCTATTTCATTTGTTTTTAATTTTTGGTTGAAGCATTATAACTTTTAATATTAATCAATTTTATATTTAATTAAATATTGGTAATTTTAACTTGATCAGATAAACTTTGAATTTAATCATTTCTAAAATTTTCAGGGAACAACACATTTCCATTAGGTTTAAATCTAAAGAGCCATTTACTCTATAACAAGTAATTTTAACTTGATAATATTTTGTTATGGGCTGAATATAATATTTGTAATAACATCAATCCCTTACCCTCAATTGCTCCAAACATATTTGATTGAATAAACTTTAACTTTTATAGAAGAAATGAAAAACAATCAATAATAGCATTGTTATGGACTAATCAAAGCGTTTTTTCTGTGTGCCTAATTTTTAAATGTAGTGCTACGAAGAGTGGCAAATAGCGTCAATGAAAAATGTGAAGGGCTTTGTTAAAGAAAAAAGCTGGTTTTTGAAAAATAGCTGAAATTTTTCAAATTATGAGTAAATTCCATATTTAGTCTTTTTTTACCTTAAACAATTTATTTTTACGTTAGATACTATTAAACGTTTTGTTCTTTTTAAATGGTAAATTTTATATATATAATAGTCCGAGAAAGGTTTTATCAAAATAACTCAATGATAAACATAACATTTGTATTATAATATGCGACAAGTCTAGTTAAAAAATAAATAAAGAAGGTTCAAAATAATCTTGAAGAGGTCATGCGAATAATATTTGTATTTTAATTAAAGTATGCGCGTACCATTTTAACGACGCCTTGCAAGTGGCAAAGGATATTTCAAAATGGTTTCGCAATACCGCAGAGTTAACGAATGGTGGCAAAACGAAACTTGTGGCATCATGGGAAATTATCCAAATTGAAAAGGCCATTGTCGGTTACCGATGTATATTTAGCGTGGCCTCAAAGAAAACTTATTCCACTTTGCGCGCGACGAGACGCTTTTTTTAAATAAGGGGTGCCATCCAGCAAACTGTAAAACCTCCTTTTATTATATTATTTATTGAAAGAGATTTTATGGCATTGTAAGTTATCTGTTTAGCAAATATTCGGCGTACATTTTTGCTCGATTTTTTATTATATTTTTTATTTAGCTACACTTTTTTATACAAGATACACAGTAAAAAATATTTGTTAATTTTAACCAAATAATAACAAGATTTTATGTTAATCCAGGTCCACATAACTTTTTGTTAAGTTTACAACCAACTGTAATCTGTTAACTAATTGAATAAAAAGTTTTTATTATTACAGATATTTTGTAGATTTAATAACAAAATTCCATGTCAATTTCAACCATAATTCTTGTATTTTTTACAAACTTTTATGTAGACCCAGTATCAAAAACATGTTGTTAATTTCGGAACTTTAAAAAAGAGAATTTGTTATAAGAAATGTTGCTTTATTAAACAATTTTCTAAATAAAACATACTTACATACCTACATAAATAAACACAAAAATATCATACACAAAATTAAATAACACACCATTCTGAAATCATCAGATTATATAGAAATTTGGTACAATTTAACTATCAGTACTACTAATTTACTTTAACTTCACTATATCGCCTAATTTTAATTTAAAAACCAATAAAGACATTATAAACACTCCTGTCACCGTTAAATATTATAAACACCCGTTGACGCTGACACAACTTGTTGATAAGTGTGTTGTGCTTGGAAATGTTTTGATTGACTGCCTGAAATCACGTGTAATAATCTGTAACCTTTGAAATTAAAAAAATGCTTACAAAATTGCATTTTACCTTTACAAAACTTTCGGTAAAATATTTTTCTTCGTTAAAATAATTACAAACCCAGGTTGTATACAAAAAATTTTGTAAAAATTTAACAAAAAAAATCAACTACAAATTCATGTTAACAAATCTTATTTTTATAACAGTGTACAGTACTTTTGTAATTGTAAGTAAATTATAAAAATGATATAGCTTCCAAAATACAGTGCCTTAATTTTCAATTTAAAACTTCAGCAAAAGTAAGTTTCTTTTCTAAAATTAATTAAGTAATTTCCCGAATAAAAAATAATTAAAATGCAGCAAAGGCACAATGGGGGAAAAAGTGTTATTATTCAGCTCTTGGTAAAGAATCTTCGTTTATTTAGCTAATGACTGATCCCGCGCGATAACGATACGACTGTTTTGATAGAATTATAAAGTCAGTTAGCTTTTGAATTAATTATGGTTTCTCCTTTGCCGCCGCCGCCACCGCCACGGCCGCCACATTTAATTTAATTATTTTCCCTCGTTTCAATTTTTATTACGGTTGAAAAATGCGACTTTTAAATGTGACAGGCGTGCTGGGAAAAAGAAGGCGAAGAAAATACGGATGCGCATTATCGAGTGTGTTTATGTCTATTGCAAATAAATGGACGACTGTAAGCGTAGGCATTCGTTTAACGCAAAGGCACGTGACGCGTTTTGAAGCAGAAAGGGACGAAGTGGATTTCTGCTCGATAAAAGTGGGTCTATTGCCATTTTCAAAAACACGTATTCTTTGACTTTCAAAGCACAACGCATTCTCTTTAAAAACGTTTCCTTTTTGCTGCCAAAAGCTATTGTTGCCAGTCAAAACGTTGATTTTTTTGTTTAAAAAAGAAGGCGACGATGTCTGTTGTTGGTGAAAGAATATTAATAATGAAAACTTGGTGGCAAGGGAGCTGAATGACTTTCGAGTAATGTGTCGCGTATTCTTTTTTTGAAAAAGGTATGCGGTCGGACATCGCGAGGCGGCAACGAAGTAGTCAAAAGATTCCCTCGGGCGAAATTTGCATTCGCAATCTGAAAATGCTGAGAACGCGGGACGGCCAAATCAATCCATCAACATCTACTTTAACAAATAACGTGCAATGATTTTATTTCTTACTTGAAAATCCCATCAAACAAATTTTTACACAAATCGCTGCTATATACCACATAGTTATTGGACACTTAAGGAATATTATTTATTTAAAATTTATATATGCCGTTGTTTTAAAGATTTTAGTTTTTTTCTTATAAATATATTAAAAGGATAGTTTGTTTGTTTAAACTTTATTTACGTTTACTTCAAAATAGGAATATTTGAATTTTTAATATGTTTTCTAAAAACATGCAAAATAATATAGTAATTGGACATTTCATATAGTAATTGGACACATGGACCATAGTTATTGGACATACAATCTTAACATCAAATATCTTAAATTGTTAAATATATAAATTGCTGTTTTAAGTAATTTTTTTTATTTCGTTTTTGTAAATATCATATAATTCATATATTTCTTTCTCGAATTCCTCTTCCCTTTTCTGGAATCTGAAGGTAACTACCAATTCCTTGGTCTGAATTCTGAAATAGTTTGTGGCAAATATCATTAAGTGTGGTATCTCTAGTTTGTGAAGCATTTATAATGTTTAGGCCGGAACAGGATGATTTATATATATCTAATATTTTTTCGGGTGGTATGTTTAAAGTATTTTTCGAATATATTAATTTTCTTGCCATTAGTTTTTTATGTTCTCTATCTGTATTTAAATCACTGTTATTCTGCAAAATGTCCTGTGACGGAGAAATCACCAAATTACTTATTCTCTAGAAATGAATTAGCGAAAAAGCAGTCACTAATAATTCTCGTCAACACCAATTTGTATCCAGGACATTTAGCAGTCAATTCTTATAAAATAATATTCGCTGAATCCGAAAATGTCGTCAAAAGTTATAAAAGTAGAACAGTTTTTGAAATATAATAAATTTTACATATAATATGGAATTGACTATGTTTCAAAAACTGCTTAACTTTTATAGTTTTTTACGGCCTTTTCGGATTCAGGGGACAATTTTACATAAGAATTGGCTGGTAAATGTCCGGGATACAAATAGATATTGGATAGGTATCCATTAATATAAATTTACATTTTTTACCAACCAGTAATTGGACACTGGCCATTTTTCTGTTTGTTTTCAGAATTAAAATTAATACGCATTATAAAGCGACTGTTTAAACCATGAGGAACACATTTATACCACACACTAATAAGTACACTTTTTAGAAATATTTTTTTTTGTAATATATAACGTACTGCATTAATCCCGGCGCATCCGCCATTTCTATTCTAGTCAATTTGTATCCCACATTTAACAGTAATTTCTTATAAGTTTTGACGGTAGTTTATAATTCATAATATTACCTAGGAATTGCCTTTCAAAACTTGATGATACGTATTTTTATTTTTATTTGTTGACTAGACACTAAGTGTTATGATCAAGAACAAACAAACAGAGGTGTGAGTCGAATTCCTTGGAAATTGAAAAAGTTACGGTGCGCCTTGTCTCAAAGTCAAGGTATCATCAATCTTTCTAATTTAGCCGCCGCCGCCGCCGTCGATGGTGTCACGAGTTTGACGCCACCGCCGCCGCGAGTTTACTCTTATTATTTGCATATTCATGAGTGTTAATTAAATTTAATTTGACAACACAATAACGCGCCAAACAGCCAACCTTGTGTCCCGATTTATACCGTCATCCGATATAATTTACATCGCCAATTATATTTTAACCTCTTAAGCGTCGTCTTCATCTCCACCCATTCGTTATTATTATTATTTGAAGGGTGTTGGTAATTATCCTAAAAATCAAAGTTTAGCTTGGTAAATTTTTTGAGTTTTGCAAGGTTGTATATGAAAATATCTTCACATTGCCATGCTCTTAAAGATGGCAATACTCTGTACTGTAGTGGGAAATTTAATGTACCTATTGAATATTTTTGAATTGGACATTTTTCCGATACATTTTAAAGGGAAAATATTCCAAACGCAACTGAAAAAGTCTAACTCTGCTTTGCTGTCAAACAGCTATTTAAATCATGGATTCACGTTTTTTTGTTATTGGCGTTTTTTTGTATAATTTACAGTAGGCATGTGGTAATTATATATTATTATTATATATATATATATATATATATATATATATACAGGGTGAGTCATTTAACTTAAAACTGCTTTTTAGGAAAAAATTTTTAAAATAAAAATTAAATGATTCGAAACTGGTCTTCATACTCCTTAAAATTTCCAATGGAACACCCTATTTTTTATTGCAGATTCGGATCATTCGACTAAAAATAGGTAGATTTTATCAAAAACATTTTTTCATATTTGTAATAGGTGGCGCTGTAATGAAAAAAAATCAATTTTCTTCGATTTTTCTTCTGTATACGATTCTGCAATAATTTTTCTATAAAAATATCACTTTTGGTAATAATTTTCTTATTAAATTAAATCTGATTTTTTTAAGTATCCACGATTTTTTAGCTAATATTGAAATTTCCTTTGGTTTAAGTTTTATACATTATTTTGTTCGGTGATAATTATCAATTGCGCTCTATGGTCACTTTTTACATGCCAGCAATAAATCCTTTAATTTAAAGGATTATTGTACTATTTTTAATAAAAATACCTCATTTAAGGTAAAAAAAACATTATTTTATCAATTAATTAATTTAATCCTAATTGTGATATAGAAAAATAATAATTATTATTGAGGTATAAAGAAACTAATCAAGTTGGTTCAAAAATTAATTTGCAAACAAAAAGACCTCCTTTTGTTAAGCAGTTATTCATAATGGATTTTTTAACAGTGGAAGAAAAAATAGAAATTATTTTGATTTATGGAGAAGTAGGCAGGAATCTTGATTATGCTGTTAATATCTACGCCCAGCGTTTTCCGGAAAAAATTACGTACATCATTTCACCGTAAAGTCAAGCAGTTTACTATAAACAGGAGTGTTCAACCGAAAGAAAAAGTTCGTCGAGCAACAGTCGCATGTGGAAATAATGAAATTAAGGTATTAGCAGCAACGGCCGCTAATCCTCATGCAAGCACACGAGAATTATCTAGAGATTTGGGAATATCCCAGAGCAGTGTTAGCAGAATATTAAAACGAAATAAATAAATAAATTTAAAATATAAATTATTTAAAAATTATTAGAGAATCGTAGGTATACAAAAGAAAAATCGAACCAAATTGATTTTTTTCATTACAGCGCCATCTATTACAAATATGAAAAAATGTTTTAGACAAAATCTACCTAATTTTAGTCGAATGATCCAAATCTGCAATACATTTTTTTTATTTTAAACATTTTTTCGTTACACACTAACTGAGATATTTCAGTTAAAGTTCAATTTAAATGACTCACCCTGTATATGGATAATATAATAAATATACTGTTCCAGACCGGGCCAGTCACTTTTTCAAGCAGTTTCTGAAATATCTGTGTTTTCTAAATTTGGATGCAAGGAAAGTGACGAGTATACCAGGGTACTAATTAAATGCATAATTTATTGGAAAATATAAGATTTATTGCAACTTTGAGCATATTATACATTCAATATCTTAAAATCAAATAATACCACACATCAGTGGCGGCTGGTGGATTTTGGGTATACCGATATCTCAATTATTAGGTATGGGACCCATACCAAATTTATATGAGTTTATAATGACATTACCTAAATAAGTTCTGAGCAAGCAGAATTTAAATTGATGTTTGCGAAAAAAAGATAACCGAAACATGAACATGGAACTTACGACACGGTACTTATGAATGGGATACAAATTTGAGATTATAATTCGGAATTAAGTATTTTACTGATATTTTTTATTAGTAGATGCTACTTATCAACAAATCACTTATAGCCTTATATAAATTACAATGAAATATATATACGTAAGAAATAACTACTCACCACAGTACCGCAATTTTGACTGGAACTATACGTGCATTCAGCACAACTTCGCATTGTTTGCAAGATGATTGCCGTGCAAAGGGCGGGCTCTGTAGGTAATTTTTTATCAACACTTGAGTTAAAACGAGGACTTGACGTTTAAACTTCAATATTTCGCAGGAATTTTGAATTTTAGCATTGAACACAGAACTGACGGGTAAAAGTGATTACAAAGATTATCAATTTTTAAAAAATTGCTATTATTCGAATCTATGATAAAATATGAATAATACATTATTTAATGTTTTATAGATTGTAGTGAAATTGAAAAATTTAAAATAAATTGAATATATTTTAAAATAAAATCACTCAAATATTTGATTCAGGAGTTGTGACACGCCAAGGTACTGATGTTTTGAATATTTATTATGTTTTTCTACAAACGTGCTTTTGAAAAAATACATTAAAATTGGGTGGACAAGTTAAAAAAACCTGGATCTTTTGTTATATACTAAAATATTTACAAAAAATATCAAAATACCTACTCTATTGACTAATGACATCAAGTTGTCCAACTTTTGTAGAATCACCAATATATATATTTATAAAAGAGCACTTTATATATTATAGTAGATTGCAACTTACGAATATATCGATTACCGCCGTACATGCATACGTCACAGTTTCCTGGAACAAACAAAGCTCGTTGGAAATTCGCATTTTCCGCTATTTGCAACGAACTTTACGGGCATAAATCTG